TCAGTAAAACAGCAAATACACACTATAAACTAAGTGCTGATCGTGTACTCATGAAAGACCATCCCTGTAACTAACTTTGTTTCAGTGCATTGTGAGAATGCTGTTTCTATATTAGCCTCGCTACAGAGATGCAGTGATTCAAATCAACAGCTTTCTCTAAGCTCTAAGCTTGAAAACCATTGGGCAAATATGCTTTTCATAGTAAATTTTTAGAGAATGCTGTTTCTATATTAGCCTGGCTACAGAGATGCAGTGATTCAAATCATCAGCTTTCTCTAAGCTTGAAAACCATCGGGCAAATATGCTTTTCATAGTAAATTTTTTCCAATGTAATATCCTTGGTGATATTAAATATATCTCACTGTGAAAGGCAATTTCAACCCATAAGATTGGATTGTTTTGCTTTTATGGAGGGAAAACAATGATTAATTTGGCTGTAATTTAATCAATTCTCTGTTAATGTTTACTTGACAAATTTTATTAGGTCATGTTTCAGTTTTAGTCTTATCAGTGGCCATGTTCAGAGTCTTATTTCCAAGCTCTTTTCAATAGGTAGGAAATAACTGGCCAAACCTGATTCTTCACCACTTTGCAGCTTGTGTTGCCCTTTGTGTGAGTAAGACGACAGCGTGCAATGCTGTCATTTCAATCTAGAACATTTTACAGATGTTTTCTTTATGATGCAGTGAAAGAAATGACTGTACAAGGCACCAGGCAGGGATCATTCCCACTTGGGTGTTTCAGTCATGAGACAGCTTTTTCCCTCCCTGTTGTAGCTGTCCTAGGTGGTTCTTTACTGAGAAATACTAGACATGTTAAGCAAGAGATGACAAATGTCCTTTTGGGATGGTCACTACAGAGATCATTCCTTCCAAATAAGAAAGAAATGGGAAGTGGAGAGCGGTCTCAGTCATCTCCTTTTAGGTATGTGGAGAATCAGGTCTACATATTTTGGCAAGTGACACACTTGCAAAGGCCCATGGATTGCATGACTCTAAGCAATGAAAGTGCTTTAGAGCATTTGCACAAACATATCATTTATCCTCACTCAGATCAAATTCCTATGGCTGGAGATGAGAAGGAATTTTCCCTCATATTCTGCATCTTAGTTACTCATGTCCCACAGGCGAGCACTGTGATATGACTGGAAGCTTGTCATCAGAAGAGATTTAAAAGTAACAGAGGGTGATATGAGTTGCTGAGATACAGTAGCTTGTGAAATTCATTAATCTCTCCTGTTGATTCCTGTTAATGCCCATGAATGACTAATTACTAGATATTGTGATCCTGTATTCCTCTTCTTCCCTCCATCCTATGTACTAATTGGGACATAGAACTGTTAATAGGGATTTAATCTAGACTGCAGAATTTAGAAGGCATTTATTATGGATCATTATTATAAGGCATATATACAATGGATCAGACAATCTAGTAATGCAGCCAGCTCTTATGTCATGGGTGGAGAGGAGAAAGACGATTACTCAGAAATTATGTGCTCCAGCAATGCTCAGCTGATAAACCGGGTGGAGAGGAGAAAGACGATTACGCAGAAATGATGTGCTCCAGCAATGCTCAGCTGATAAACAGTATTTTAGAGATCAGCCGAGAAGAATTTGAGTAGCCCAAGAGAGCTAAAACCTCCTGCTGTGCTGTGATCAACATCAGAGAACCCTTTCCCAATAAACAGCTCTATCATGTCCAGTACCAAGAATTTCCAGGCAGAAAAAACAAGGGAGGAGTTTTGTACAGAGTATGACATCTAATGAAGACACATCTACATCACACACAAAAAATTAATGGAGTTTCACTAGAAGTGGCTGTCCTATAACAGAGAACCCAGTAACAACAAGTGTCAGGAGGAGTACATGTTTATTTCTTATTGGGTGAAAACATGCTCGTGGAGTAAGCTAAACTTCAGAAGTTCTGTGTTTAGAGGGCTTTTCTTTTTCCTTTTTAAAATTTGTATTTATTTATTACACTGGCTTGGCTATTCTTCAGCCAGGCTATTCATCAGCCAGCTCTAGTGTAAGTAGTAGTTTGGATGGGACTTAAGTTTTTATAGTACCATGTTAACTGTCAGTTGTTCCTAAGTGATCCTGCTGTCAGTTAATAAGCAGGTCTTTTAAAGTGTTACTGATTCAGAAAAAAAAAAAAAAACTGACATCTTTGTCTTCACAAAAGATATGTGAGAGAGGGCAGTGCTGGTGTAAAGCAGTGTAGTGCTTAACGTTGGATTTAATTTTTCAATGTGAAGTAAGGTTTTTTTCAAAGTACTGCCAAATAAATCTCACCTAGGGGAATAGGAGCTGCAATACAAGACAATTTGTTTTCAGACTGTGCCATAACAACATTCAGCAGTGAGCCAGACAAAACCACACGAGCTTAAGTAGAAGTGACTGAGCCAAAAAATAATTGTCATAATTATATACCAGGTAGTCAGATTAATAATGATAAAATATTTTTTCTCTCACAGTGCTGTTTATTAGCCAGCAACAGGACTTAATCTTTGCTTTGCCTGTCACATGTTTTGTGAGAGACTTTGGAGAAAAAAGTTTGGGTTTGCTTTTTTTTCTCTTTATTTCGTTCAGGAGTTACTCTGCAAAACACTGGCCCTGATTTTCACCATGGTCAGGAAGTGTAAATAACTTGTGCTGTAAGTCTGGCCTCTCTAGCAGGAAGGCTACATTGTCCATCCAGTGCCAGAAAGGTGGAAATACCCTTAATTTTATGTTCAATTAAATACAGGATTTACCTTCTGTCCCAAGATTTCTGAATAGTTTAGCTTGGAGAGTTTGCTTGTGGAAGAACTGATTCACATGTTTATTTTCATTCTCCCCAAATTAATGACTACCCAACAAGACTAAACTCTCGTTGTGCTCTTTCCTATATGTTGTTTGTGTCCTCATCCAGAATTACGTCCACAGAGTATTCATTAAGCAAAAGGTTACAGACTTTGTACTTTACAACCTTTTAGCTTTTTTACAGGAGAAGCATAGATTCTTTCATCAGTTTCATAGAGAAACACATTTTTCTTAATTACGTTTTGAAAAGGATTGGAAGCCACTATTAAATCACAGTAAACTTAAGTGTCAAATTTGTGCTTTTAATAGGGAAAACTTCCACCGCAGAGAGGGCAGGGATGCAGGAACAGCCACCCATCATCAACTCTGTAAGGAAAGTAAAGACCTCAGGATCTTAGAGATCTTGCTACTGGATGCTCCCTTTAACATGCCTCTATATTGCCTTCATTTCAGTACTATGGCCTAGGGAAATACTTCTGCTCGATGGCTGTTGATTCAGATCTCAATTCTCAATTTAAATGACAGTAATTGAAAATTTAATTGTAGCAATTCTCTATGCTGCCAGCAGAACTTAATATTAGACAGTGGACAAATTGAACCTTATATCAAATTTTCTATACAGCTTATGGTTGTTACCTCCTTCCAGTTCTTCTCAACTATATATACAGTTTAATGTCCAAGTGGAAATCAGTTACTAGTGATGTCCCTCAAGGGTCAATACCGGGACCAATACTATTTAATATCTTCATCGATGACATAGTGGGATTGAGTCCACTCTCACCAAGTTTGTGGATGACAACAAGATGAGTGGTGTAGTTGATACATCTGGGGGAAGGGATGCCATCCTCATTTAATTGGACTAAATGATCTTTGAAGGTCCCTTGACAGGCTGGAGGAGGAGGCCCATGCGAACCATGTGAAGTTCAACAAGGCCAAGTGCAAGATCCTGCACCTGGGAGGGGGCAATACTCAATATCAGCACAGACTGGGTGATGAACAGGTTGAGAGCTGCCCTGCAGAGAAGGACTTGGGGATACTGGTGGATGAAAAATTGAGTGTGAGCCAGCAATATGTGCACCCCAGAAAACCAGTCATATCCTGGGCTGTACCAAAAGAAGCGTGACCAGCAGGTAGAGGGAAGTGATTATGCCCCTCTGCTCTGTTCTTGTGAGACCCCACCTGCAGTACTGCATTCAGCTCTGGGGCCCCCAACATAAGAAGGACATGGACCTGTTGGAGCGGGTCCAGAGGAGGGCCACGAAGATTATCAGAGGGCTGGAGCACCTCCCCTGTGAAAACAGGCTGAGAGAGTCGGGGTTGTTCAGCCTGGAGAAGAGAAGGCTCCGGGGAGACTTTCTATTAGCCTTCCGGTACCTGAAGGGAGCCTACAAGAAAGCTGGAGAGGGACCTTTTACAAGGGCATGTAGTGATGGGTCAAGGGGTAGTGGCTTTAAGCTGAAAGAGGTAGATTTAGATTAGATATAAGGAAGAAATTCCTCACTATGAGGGTGGTGAGGCTCTGGAACAGGTTACCTAGAGAAGTTGTGGATGCCCCATCCCTGGGAGGGTTCAAGGTCAGGTTGGATGGGGCTTTGAGCAAGCTGGTCTAGTGGAAGGTGTCCCTACCCATGGCAGCGGGGTTGGACTGGATGATCTTCAAAAGTCCCTTCCAACTCAAACCATTCTATGAGTCTATGATACCTGCCACATCTAACCACTGTTTCCTGCTCCTAACTCTTTTTTGCTGGCATTGACCTTCTTTGCTGCTTTATATGTAGAGCACCAAATATTGTGAGATATTGATCCTTGATCATGTGTATCCATGAGTATGATGGTACAAACATACATCAGTTTTCTTACAACGAAGGAAAGGTATACCACATATTTTGCAAAGTTCTGTCTTTTTTTGTTTCTAATTTCTGTGGAATTTCTGCTTCCTTTATGTCATAGAGATAATTTATTAAGAAAATTTCGTACAGAAAAATGGTTTGTGAGAGTAAATTTTACCCAATTTGGAAGTAAAAAAACCCAAATAAAACCAAGGTTAACAGGAACTGTATTATGACCCTGGAAAGACATGCTCTAACACTGCAGTTATCTCACTGGCGTACTCCATGCTGGTTGCATATATTTATAAAAGACACCAATGAGTCATATGCAAACATTTTGATTATAAAGATTTTCTTCATTTTCCCACAGACTTGCTGCTTTCAAACAGCTGCATCCCATTCCTGGGCTCAACAGAGGGTCTTGATTTTCGAACCCTGCTGCTAGATGAGGAGAGGGGCCGGCTGCTAATCGGGGCTAAAGACCACATCTTCCTGCTCAACTTGGTTGATTTAAACAAAAATGTAAAAAAGGTCAGTTTATTTTTCATAGAGTTCATCTCATAAGTTCAATTTTGTTCCTTTTTCTCTTTTTTTTTTTTTTTTCCCCCCTAATTCACTGGGTAACTGGCAGATTCATTGTGCAATGCTGTATACCAGGATTTGATAATCTCACCTCCCACAGTTATACAGATTATCTTTAATCAACTGAATTTCTCATGCTATATGATCTCCTGTGAGACTGATGTCCTGCAAGAGGTCAGCTACCTGGAGGAGCCCTGCAGTGCATGAAAGTAGCATCAAAATATCAACAAATAGGCAAAAATGCAACTAGGAGTGTTTGCTTCTTCATTTCTCTGGTCATGGTCACCCTCCTCAAATAAAAGCATTTGGAAGAAGATATCTGAAGACAGCTCTTTCCTCACGTCCTGGCATCACTGGGATTACTTTACAGTGATATGAAACAGAGCAGAGGCAATGTGGATGGTTTAAATTACAGTGAAAATGTTAGTGGCAATTTTAATATTAACATTTGTATTAGTATCTAGAATTACTAGTGACAGGAGAAGCTTCCACTGGGATCTATGCCCTATGACAATGTGTTAACTCCAGATAATAAGATGGCAATTTAGCCTTCAGTAGTTCTAGCAGACATGATGAACTGGAGCTTTTGTAAGCACAATTGACTGCTACATGTAAAAAACAGATGCTTGCACAGGAACACACATGAAAACTGCTTTCCTGCTTGTTCCAGATATGCTACTTACTGAAGAAAATTTAAATTCTCAGCTGTGTTTGATATTTTCTTTAAGCACCAGAAGGAGGTTTTAAATTACTATGTTCTGTTGTTGGCTCTGAAGAGGTAACTGACCCTGAATTAATACAACTGCAGCGCAGGGGCTTAGCAGGTGTAACAGGAGACTATTTTGCCCCATATGTTTGAGCGCAACACTTGCTGTCATTGTATAGAAGAGATACAGTACCAGGCTGAATATCTTCTTTCTTATTTCGTCTTCTGCAATGCTCCATATGCCAGCTTCTTTAAAACTCAGATTCTGAGCATTTCAGGAAATTCCTTGCCTGGGATGCTTTATCAAACACTTAACTTGTGCCTGCCAGCTCAGTAGTTTACTGAAAAACCAGCACCTCCTCAGGATATTGCATTAATAACAGCATTATTCAGACTACAGATTGATTTCTGGCAGAGGCTTTCCGTAGAAAACAAATTTTGTTTGTGTGAAAAGTAGATTTCTGCTTCTGTGGGATGCTGCTTACCTCCTGAGAGATGCTGAGTGCTGTCACCTCCCGTTCTGTTCGGTGGGGCTTGATCCGTTCAGAGCTCTCTGGAGGCGGTAGCACCCTCGTGATCCGCCCCTCCGTCCAAGCTGGTAACGTTTTCCCTTTAGCCAAACCACCGCTGATCATTATGGACGTTGTACTTTCCAAGAAGAGCAGAACACAGACTGAGCCAAGAGAATTAGCGTGCAGCCAGAGAGTGCCATTTATTAGAGATATTGTAGAGCAAAGATTCACTTTATGTTGGAATACAAAATTGCATTCGGTAAGCTGAATAGAGAATGTATAGCTACATATCTGTGGTAACCTGAAAGAAGGGAATAAAATTCATAACCACTTGCATATCTGGACTAAAGAAATTATTGTCTGCAGGTTCAAATAGTTCTAATTCTTAGTTTAACCATTCAGGTCATCTTTAACTTTTCAGACAAATCACTGAGGAAAAGTATATTTAAATAGTTAAAACGGACTGAAAAGCTCTGCAAAGAACCCTGGTGTGCTGATATCCAAGATCTCTGTGGGCATTCAGCAACTTTACAAACTTATCCTTTTAGGTAAATGCCCAGGTAACATGAGATGATATCACACAAGCGTTTCTCTTTGGTTCCCCTGTGCCGGGCTGGTAGAAAGGTGTCTGGGGAGGGAAGAGATGAGATGAAGGAAGTTGCGTGAGAGGTTGTGTATCCATCTCAGTCACTGACGAGGTTTCAATGCTAAAGGATGCTCTCCAGTAGCAGCGAAGTGTCAGAAAGTAGCGCTTGCCGGCGCTGTGTTTAGACTGACCGCGGTTTGGGTTGGCGCCGGGCCAGGCGGCTCGCTTCCAGGCTTTCCCGGTGCGAGGAAACCACACATGTCGGGACTACAAGGGTCTGAAGTGTGTCCTTTGTACTCCTCTGGAGCGAGAGTCGTCTGGGAAAAAATTCTATCTATCTGCTTATACGCAGCCACTAAAATGAGAAGTAATTGATGAGAATATTAAGTTTCTGCCTATAAATGATGTGTTTATTAATGACTTTGAGGGAGGAGGGTTAAAAGACAGCAAGTTGAGGGGGGTGAGAGAAGTGTAAGAGCTTTGAAACTAGAATGCAACTGTGCATAGTTTGGGGTTTTCTTTCTTTAAAACAAAACTGAACGTGAACTGTAGAATGCTGTATGCTGGGTAGATTCAGATTACTTTAAAAAAGCTCTCAATGTCAGATATTTGTTATGTTAGGAACTACTGACACACCAAAAAGCCAAATCAGGATCCCCAACAATTTACTCTCAGAAAATCCTCATCTGTGGATATAATTACTTGGCAAGACTATATTGTAGAGTCTGCTCTATATTCAGATATTTCTGGAATAGTATTCAAAGAAACATCCAAAGCATTGTATCCTTTTCCCTTATTTAATGTATACATATATATCATTTAATAACTTCCTTTTTACAACCTAATTATTTACCTAAATCAGTTAAATTAACTTACATATATTAAGTTACGGCTTTATTTCCTGGTATTTTTTTCCTGACAAAAGAAATCAATAGCTCTTCTGGAGTTCCAATTTCTTAAATCATTGTAGTTTTTATTCAATTTATTGTGTAATTGGTTGAAAACTTCCTTAGCTGGCAGCTTGAAAAAAATCCATCCAATTTCCAGTTCTTGTAAAACCTTATTGTAAAACAACAGTAAGTTCCATAGTATAATAGAAAGGTCCTCCAGAATGAAAGACAAATGCAGAAAGCTAAAATGGTTGCACTCTACAAATATCTAAAGCTTAGCAAAGGATAATCATCTTTCTGTAGCAGGGATATAATCTCTATGAACTTGTCCTGAATAGAAGCCTCTTGCTCTTATTGCAGGAATAGCATTATCAAGTGCCATAGTCTTTTCTTGAAAGATCCTTAGATGCCTGACAAGTGTTGCAAGCTATTTATAAACTGGAGGATTTGTGGTTCCTTCCTATGAGTAAAATAAAGATGTTCAGCAAAAGAAAGCAGAAGAGAGCAGCAACCGACATTTATCAGGGCATTGCAAATGTGGACAATAAATCTGAAGACAACTATGCCCATAACCAGTAGAAGTACAGCGTAAAACAAACAAACATGTTTAATAGCATGAGAGGCTGGAAAGCTGGAGAAGAAATTCTATAGGAATCCTAAGCTCTGGGATCCTGCTGGAAAGATTACTTTGGTACATAGAATTTTCTTGTGAGTTTGCCTAAAGCCTTTGTTATTTTACTCCTTAAACTAAATAAATACTAAATACAAAATGTTGTCAGCTGGGTAAACACTTATGAAATAGCTGCAAAGAAATGGTGCACCTTTCTGTACGTCCTGTGCTCGCTAACAGTGCAAGCGGGGTTATATGTCAGCACTATTATCACTGTGTGATCCGCAGCGCGACCCGCCCATCTCTGCAGGAATAGGAATGCTATCAAGGGCTGACAAGCTTTTGAAAAGCTGCCAACCTGCAGGAGCTGTCAGTGCTAGAAGACACAGCCACATGTGGGCCAAACAGATAAACATGTCAGATCCCCAATAGCAGCTTTGGAACAAGTTGTTTTCATCTGCCCCAGTGTGTATTGGCACAGGGTCACAAATTATCGTCGCTTGGAGCATCCTTAGTTTGTAGTTGCTACTATTTTTCTGGCATTACCAGGTGTAGCTGTCTTGTGACTTATCCTTTAATGCCCTCTTGTATTGATTTTTATCTGTATTTCACAGTAAAAAATACATATGTGTGTATATATATGTATCAGCTGGGTAAATGCTTATGAAATAGCTGCAAAGAAATTCTGCACCTTTCCATAACTCCAGTGCTTACAACAGTCGAAGTGAGGTTATATGTCAGCACTATTTGCAGTGTGACCCACCCATCTCTGCAGGAAGGGGACCATATATACAAATACATATGCATATTTATGTAAAAGAGCACCCTCGAGATATAGGAGCCAAATTTTACCTTCAACATGCTGGGAAACCTCCTGTCAGTCTATATAAGCGTTATCTCAATTAGCAATGAATCCGGTGGGAGTTTGGCCAGCACTGAAGGGAGGCTTTGGTTCTTGCCATCAAGCCAGAGCCTCAGGAATACACAGAGTCAGAGATGTTTACTGCAGCCCTGAAACACAGTAACACCAAGAGAGGTCCTTCCTAATCAAATATGTGCTGCTTTTACATGCCAAAGGAATTTAGCTTTCTGCCTATTAGCAAAAGCTGTAGATTGTCTCAGGGTGAAGTTTTCTTGACCTGTCAGAAGAAAAAGGCTGGCCAGGAGATATCAGCAAAGGCCAAAGAGTCACATGGAAACCACTGGAGATATCTAAAGTTCTGGAAGTGGGGCCATGAGTACTGGGAAAGTCTAGAATAAATGCAGTGGAACTGGAGGAGGATGTTCATGAGTCCATCCGGGATCATGTTGGTTTGTTGTCAATCTGTGAATAGAAAAAGTTCTAAGAAAAGAAGTGAGGTGAGGCTGAGATTTGACGGGGCAGGGTTTGACCCTCTGCACATGGGGAATTAGTGCCCAGGTGTAAATGCATGCTGATGGCCCTGCTTTTGAAACAAAGGGAACTTTTCTGGGTGTTGCAGTTCATAGAATACTCATTTCCACCTATTTTAGAGTATTTCCCTTCCTCCCAAAATTAATAGAAATAGAAACCATCTTCTCTATCATTTACAATAAAACAAGACTGGTTCTACTGGGTATCATATAGTTTAGTGTCCTGTCCCCAAAGATGGTCAGCAGTGGGCAC